CTCAGTTGGTTAAGAGTGCTAACTCTGAGCAACAGCGTCGCCAGTTCAATTCCCACATGTGCCAGTGAGCTGCGCCCGAGCTGAGCTGCCAACAGATGGCAGGATGGCTCAGCTCGCAAGAGCCTGTGCTCCTAACAACAAGGTTGCCGGTTCTACTCCCGCATGGGATGGTGGGCGCAGTCCACCAGCAATTAAAATTGAACACAGCAGCTTGAGCTGATTGGCTGCGAACGGCCAACGGGCAGCCGGATGGTGACTGTACTTGGAGCTGAGCTAGCTGTGCCCTCCACAACTAAGACTGAAGGACAACAACTTGGCTGTTCCCCTTCCCCAATTACCCAACACTGTTCCCCTCCCCCAATTCCCAAATAAAATCTTTTAAAAATAATAAATAAATAAAAATAAAGTGTGCTGTAAATTATCCTTATCATGACAACACTCTGTGTCACACATCATTTCTGGTATACAAGAAAGGATTAAGAGGTACAAAGAGACAGTTATAAAATAGTCACTGGGATGTAAAGTACAGCATAAGAAATATAATCAATAATATTGGGATAACTATGGTGTCAAATGGGTACTAGATTTATCGGGGTGGTAAATTCATGTTATATAAATGCCTAATCATTATCTTGTACACCTGAAACCAATGTAATATTGTATGTCAACTGTAATTGAAAAATAAAATTTAAAAAAACCTGAAGATATATGCAAACCTTATGTCTGAACAATTCCACTCTTAGGTGTATATAATTAAGAGAAATGTACATGCACAATGCACCAGGAGACATGTTCGTAAAAGTTCATACTAGCATTACTTACAATAGCCCAAAACTGGAAACAACTCAAATACCCATCAACAGTAGTAAAAAAGATAGACTGGAATATATTCATGCAACTGAATACTGTAGAGCAATGAAAATCAAAGAAACTACAGCTCCACACAACATGGAGTAAATCTCACAAAGATATTGTTGAGCAAAAAGAGCACACACAAAACAAATATTGTGATTCCATTTAAATGAAGGAAAAAATAAGGAAAACTAAAGTGCTGAGGAATGCATATTTAGGTGGAAAAATTACAAAGGAAAGAAAGTAATTACCATATAATAATTCAGGATAGTTATTATGGGAGACTGGAGGAGGTACTGATTGGAAAGGGATCCAAAAGGGATTTCTGGGGCTGCCAGTCTAATATTTCCTACGTTGGGTGGGAGTTATATAGGTGTTGGCTTTGTGATAATTCATTAAGTTGTATAATAAAAAAACACATTTATTTATACACTAAATAATCTCATCAAATGGCCACAAATATAAGAAAAAAATGCCAGTTTTTTATTATGTAAAAATGACTCCAGAGGCCAGCCAAGTGGCTCAGTTGGTTAAGAGTTAGCTTAAGAGCATGAGCTCTGAGCAACAGGGCCACTGGTTCGATTCCCACATGGGACAGTGATGCTGTGCCCGAGCTGAGCTGCCGCTGAGCTTCCAACAGGTGGCGGCATGGCTCAACTGGTGAGAGCACGTGCTCCTAACAAGACTGCCTGTTCAATGGTGGGCTACGCCTGCCCGCAACTAAGACTAAAATCAGCACCATGAGCTGAGCTGCCACCCAGATGTCTCAGTGTATTGAGCATGTGCTCTTCACAACAAGGCTGCTGGGTTCAACTCCGGCATGGGATGGTGGCTATGCCCATCTGCAACTAAGACTGAACTTGGCACCTTGAGCTTAGAGTCCACGAGCTGCCGATGGGCAGCCAGATGGCGACTGGCGCCCTCCACAACTAAGATTCAAGAACAACTTGGCTGGTCCCCCTCCCCAATTCCCCAGCACTATTCCCCTCCAATTAAAAAAAAAAAATGACTCCAATTCAAAATTGAAGCCCAAGCTCTGAGATTCTGTCAGATTCATTTAAATTTTCTGAAAACACAAAAAGTTTACATTTAGCAATAAACTAAAACAAAGGGCATGGCTAATACATAAACTTAGTTTTAACAAGTCCCCCAAGTCAACATTCACCACAGTGACTGTCTTAGTCTATAACAGAATACCACAGATTGGTGGCTTATGAACAGAAATGCCACAGACAGCGTATATTAAACCCTTAGACAGGGAGGCCTAATAAACCACTATCAGGACCCTGTGTTTGTCAAGTGGCTGGCTCACTCAGCAGGATTTCCAAAGTAACTGCCATAGTCCTATTCATTTTATAAGCCACTCATTTACAAGAGCACCTACAAATCCAAGGCTCTGACAACTAGAATTTTCACTCAACTTATATCCTTTACTGTCTTAAACATTTAAGTTTCTTAGTTTCATCCACTTTTGACTAGAGTATGGGGTTTTAGGTACACTAACTACAATTCTTTGGGACCAGCAAAACTAGATTGTATAAATAGGTGAATCCTCTTAACTCTAAAGATGTTACCCTCCTGACCAAATATTTTCTAAATGCCTGTTATGTGCCAAGCACTATGTTGAATTCAGGTGATACAAAACAGTCGAAGATTGGCTCCACCTCTCACTTCAAGGTGCTTGCAATATATTTGGGAAAATTATACTTAAAAATGTTCCTATCTTTTAAAAAATAAAAAAGGGCCGGCTGAGTGGCATGTTGGTTAAGAGTGGCTTGGGACGCAAGCTCTGAGCAGCAGGGCCCTGGTTTGGATCTCACATTAGGGCCAGTGACGCTGCACCCTCTACAGCTAAGATGGTGAACAACAGAGCTCCACCTGTAGCTGGGCTGCCGTTGAATCGCCGGTGACGGCATATGCTGCAGTGAAGCTGCAGTGGGCTGCCATAAGCTACCGTGAGTGGCTGGCAGCCAGCGTAAGCTGCCAAGAGCCGCCGTGAGCGGCCGTCCAGGGGCAGGAGACAGATCTGCCTCACCTGGGAAGAGCACAATGATAATACCAACATGGGCTAGTGAAGCAACGTCCTCCACAACTAGACAGAAGAATAAAAGGACAGCAACTTGTCTATTCCCCTTCCCCGACTCCCCAACACTGTTCCCCTCCCCCAATTCCCCCCTCCAAAATAAATAAAATAAAAATAAAATATGAGGATTTTTAAAAAACAACAACACGTTTTTTAAAAAAAGGGCCGGCCAAGTGGTTCAGTTGGTTAAGAGCTCAAGCTCTGAGCAACAGGGTCGACAGTTCAATTCCCACATGGGCCAGTGAGCTGCGCCCGAGCTAAGCTGCCAACAGGTGGCAGGATGGCTCAGCGTGTGACAGCACGTGCTCCTAACAACAAGGTTGTAGGTTTGACTCGGCACCTTGAGCTGAGTGGCCATGAGCTACTAATGGGCGGCTGGTGACTGGACTTGGAGCTGAGCTAGCTGCACCCTCCACAACTAAGATTGGACAACAACTTGGCTGTTCCCCTTCCCAAATTCCCCAATAAAGTCTTAAAAAAAAAAAAGTTCCTATCTTTACTGTACTGCAACTAACAATTGTAGTAATGTCACTGGATTTCAATTACTTATTTACTTACTGGACAGGAGAGCTTTTTAATGTCAGCAAGCATGTATGCTACAGGTTCATCTCTATATCCTCAGGACCCAGCACAGCACCTAGCACACAGTAGCTGATTAAAAAGTTTGCTGAATGAGGGCCGGCTGAGTGGCTCAGTTGGTTAAGACCTAGCTCAACAGTTTGAGCTCTGAGCAACAGGGTCCCTGGTTTGATTCACAGCCCGAGCTGAGCTGCCGCTGAGCTGCCAACGGGTGGCAGGATGGCTCAGCTAAAAAAAAAAAAAGTTTGCTGAATGGACAAAAAAAATTAACACAGGATAGCACATGATGAATGGGAAATTAATAGACAATAAAAAGAATACAGGGATGGCTGGTTAGCTCAGGTGGTTAGAGCGCAGGCTCATAACACTAAGGTTGCCAGTTCAATTCCCACATGGGCCACAGAACTGCACCCTCCACAACTATAGATTGAAGACAACTACTTGACTTGGAGCAGCTGATGGGTCCTGGAAAAACACACTGTTCCCCAATAAAATTTCTTTAAAAAAAACACAATAAGGGTGGTTGGTTTGCTCAGTTGGTTGGAGCGTAGTGCTTATAGCACTGGGGTTGCTGGGATTGCATGGGCCGCTGTGAGCTGCGCCCTCCCTAAAAGAGTCAATTATGCCATTGAAATATGCCATGAAAGCAATGTGTAACCAATAACCACGGCTATTCCCCAAATAAAAAAAATTTTTTTTAAAGTACAATATAAAGATCTGATCACCGTGTGGGGCCTTTGGTCAACTCACACCAACAATCTAAAAGCATTTACTGCATGTTGGGCACTGCATTAAGTATCAGTGACACAAAGATTAATGAAGTCATGTTTCCTGTGTTTGAGACTACAGTCTAGCAGAAGAGAACAACACACAAAGAATGATGATGCTTTAAGTGCTAAAGCAGAGGTCTGTCAAAAAAGTTAGAAGGGCGCAGAGGGGAATGCACCTCATTCCTGCAGGGATCATGGTCAAAAGAGGCTCTGCGAGAGAAATGGATTGAGGCCTTCAAAAGACTGAGTTGGGTTTTAGCAGGAGAGGGGACAGAGAGCACCATTGCAGTAAGGGGTATCAGGCATCTCTGAGTGGCTGTCATCAGAGTATGCACAGGGAAGACCTTCAAAGGCACCCTACCGTCTAGGGTGAGATGCTGAGGGCGAATGGGGATTCCACAGGTTTAAAATTTTCTATTTTTTAATTGTAGTTGATAATGCCTGAAGATTTCACACCAGAAACTGATCACAGCTTCGGAAAACACTGAAACGACGGCGTGGACGTGGACTCTGAAGAACAGATTAATTTCAATGTCACCCCTTTCCAGCAGAGCACTGGCCCCAACCAGGTATGTCAACACCGAGATCGTATAAACCCTTCACCCACCATCACACACCGCACCTCAAACCGCTTCTGGTGACACAACCCTTTCCAGCGTTCTGAGACGCGCCCCCGCCGCCGCCCCCTCGAGCCCGCGCCCGGCCCGCTGACGCACCCCCTCGGTCTTCATGTCCAGGATCTTCTCCACCTCGAACACATCTTCCCCATCCTCCTCGCTGTCCCCCACGGCTTCCGCTGTTTTAGTGGCTGCATCCTTCTCCTCGCCCACTGCTCCAGCTCGCTCACCTTCGCCTACGGGCAGCTCACTGGGGCTGTGTGCTCCAGAAACGGGAACCGAATCCACACTCGCCCCCTCAGCAACGGCTGCCGCCGCCATGACAGAAGTCTGCAAACCGCCCAGCAAGAACACCAGCGACGCACGCCCGGCACTCCTTGCGCTCCGCGATCGGCCCTCATCCCTAAGGAATCCGCCAATGACGGGCCCGGGGCCCCTGAACGGCACGCACAGCAACGAATCACGTCGAGGTAGGCACGCCGGGGCCCATGCGTGACCTCCGGGAAGTGGGTGGGCGGGTCGAAGGGCGGGCCGAAGGGCGCCCGGCCAGCAAAGCGGGCCGTCGCGGCGGGCGGGGAACTTGGGCTGCGGCGGGGAGGAGGGCTTGTTGCTGCGTGGCGGGGGTTCAGAGGGCGCGAGCTGATGGGGGTGGGGGTCAGGCGGTCCCGAGGGTAGAGCCAGTGGCCCTGTGTGGGGCTCCTCTTTGCGGACTTGCGGGCGCGTCTCGCTGGAGGATTTTTAGGAAAAGCTCCAGCCAGCTGCCGAGACCCAGAGGGCCAGAACGGAGCGCTTAGCAATCCTTGTGTTCAGCTGTGATTCATTTAAAGCGTGCCAACGATCCAAACTACTCATAGTGCTATTATACTTTAGCGAGTATTGTTTAAAGACTTTTATCATCATCATCATCATCAAGCTAAAATACATTGAGTTTCCAAGTTCTAGTTTTTTTTCATTGAAAATATCAGAGGACGTGTTAAAAGTATTTTCTGCAGGTCACGACTGATTGACAAAGATAGTCACCCAAAGCTGCCTAAATATTTTTCTCGTTTTGAGTTACGAATAAAGTCTTCCTGGCAGCTAGCATTTTACTTTTGTTTCTTTGAACGGTAGATCTAATTTACAAGATTAACTTTTAAAAATTAACTCTCTTAAGGTTAATGAAAGAATAATCCATAACCTGGCAGATCTCTTTGGAGAGGATCACCAGACCTTTGAGTTGGCGCATTGATTTGTTATTTGTTTAGCTTACTGAATGCATTCTGTGCACCATGACCCTAGTAGGCATTAGGAATACAAATGAGCATAGCCTGCCTTCCAGGGACTCAGTTTGTAAAAGGAAGGCACACAACATTTCGATATGGATACATTTTAAAAAATAAGCTTTTAAAAACAATATAACCAAATAACATTTGTTGATGGGAGGAACGCTCATTTTTTTCAGAAGCATTCCAAATAAGAAGTGTAGAAGAAAATAATCACAATATTTCAAGCAACAAAACTATTAGGTGAAAGATGGATGAGGAAGTAGATGCCAAAGTATCTCCACAGACAGTTGTCAGTAGGTGAAACACGTCACCATGGAAACCCATTGATCAATGTGAGCATTACTGAAAGTAGAATAACCAGACTGTACAACTTCTGTGGACAAAAATGTTGACTCTTAATCTACTCAGGCCTTTAGATATAATTTCCAGTCTACAGGAAATACGGGGAAAGAGAAAAGTAAACAACTGGACAAGTCCAGAATGTGGGAGATATCCTATAGGACAACTGACCCTATTTCTTCAAGTCAACAGCAAAAGAAGAGGGAAGAGAAGGTGGTTCTAAATTTATAAAATACTTGGCAAAATATTTTAAACCTTGAAATAATAAAATTTAAGTGTGTATGTTCCTTATAAAACTTTTTCAATTAACCTCCAAAATATAATATAGAAATATAAAGTTCCTATTCCTCAAAGGTAAGAGCTTGGAATATGACATGACAGATTTTTATGTAATACATATATAAACACCCATTTATATAATTTTTTAAAAAGATTTTATTGGGGAATTGGGAGAGGAGAACAGACAAGTTGCTGTCCTTTTGTTCTTCAGTTTAGTTGTGGAGGACGTCACTTCACTGGCCCGTGTTGGTATTATCATTGTGCTCTTCCCGGGTGAGGCAGATCGTTCGCCAGCCCCTGGATGGCCGCTCACAGTGGCTCACGGCAGCTCATGCCGGCTGCCAGCTGCTCACACTGGCTGCCAGCCACTCAGTGTAGCTTATAGCAGTCCACTGCAGCTCCACTGCAGCCTACACTGCTGTCGCTGACAACTCATGGCAGCCCAACTTCAGGTCGAGCTGTTGTTCACCATCTTAGCTGTAGCAGGCGCAGCATCGCTGGCTCTAATGTAGGATCTGAACCGGGGCCCTGCTGCTCAGAACTGGCGTCCCAAGCCAACTGTTAACCAACACGCCACTCGGCTGGCCCCCCTATATAATTTTTTAAATGAGCTCTATTGCATTGTTCCACACCTGCACTATAAAGAGGGGGCAAAAAAAATGTATACACATTTTAAGAAAAACTATTAAAATTGTAATAATAAAAACTATTAAAATTGTAATAATATACACTGATAACAAAAGATGAATACAAGTCACACTTGACTTCTGCAATAATAAGAGGTGCTCAAAGTGGTTACCATCAGTGTCCAGACACTTCAGATTATGGTGAACTGCTTGCGCAATGTTGACCAAAGTGTCCACTTGCATACATTTTTTTTACATCTCCGGTATATATGCATATATGACATATGCATGTATGTGTCCATTTTTTCATAAGATGAATTTCTAGAAGTGAAATTCCTTTTAGTGAAATTTACAGGTCAAGGAGGGTAATGATTTAAATTGTAATACCTATACTGCAAATTTTTTTTACTAGTATATGTTTCTAGTAATGTAAGGAAGTATCTGTTTACTCACATTCTGCTACTGGGTATTATCAACCTTTGAAATCCATTAATCTAACAAATCAAGAAAAGGCCGTTTATCTTCTGTGATTATGTCAAGCAAACAGCAGGTAAGGCCAAGGACAAGACCTTACCGATTCAGCCAGTAAAGATACAGCAAACTGTCTTAGATTTAGATAGTTTATTTAAACAGCAAGAGGAAGTGTAGCCAGATGCTAGCTCCCCTTAAGGAGCTAGATAATGGGAACATGAGTTGTGGGAAACATCACTGTTAAGGAGCCAGTTCTGGAAACAGCTAGGGGGATTTTTATTTTTATTTATTTATTTATTTTTAAGATTTTTATTGGGGTATTGGGGGGAAGGGAACAGTGCTGGGGAATTGGGGGAAGGGGAACAGACAAGTTGCTGTCATTTTGTTCTTCAGTCTAGTTGTGGAGGACGTTGCTTCACTGGCCCAAGTTGGCACCATCATTGCGCTCTTCCCGGGCGAGGCAGATCAGTCACCGGCTTCTAGACGGCTGCTCACTGCGGCTGCTGGCCGCTCACGCTGGCTGCTGGCTACACACGGTAGCTCATGGCAACCCACTGCCACAGGGGCTGCAGTTCACGCCATCGCTGGCGACTCACGGCAGCCCAGCTCCAGGTTGAGCTGTTGTTCAGCATCTTAGCTGCAGAGGGCAGTGTCACTGGCCCTCATGTGTGGGATCCGAACCGGGGCCCTCTGGCATCGCAAGCCAGTTCTTAACCATCGCGCCACTTGGCCGGCCCCAGCTAGGGGGATTTTTAGTTTGCAGCTGTGTCCTGAGCCTCAAACCTCATCAGAACTGGGAGGTGATGAGAACTGGTTTCATGACAGCCTCCCAGGGAGAGTGAGGCAGGTGGGAGCTCCTCACAAGCCTCCCCTCCTCATGGCAGCTCCTCACAAGCCTCCCATCCTTCGGGTACCAGGAGGATCACAAAGCACTCTGCCAAGACTCAGTTAGCTGTGGTTCAGGCCCAGGGAGTTAGGATGGGTCACGCATCAGGATGTCACTCAAGAGGAAGGCAGGACTAGCAGTAGAAAGGGAAATTCTGAACCACATGAATGAGGGGAGGTGCTGGGCTGCCAGCAGACTATAATTCAAAGAAACTGGGGTTTTATGTAAATAGAGAGGTAATGGCCTAGAAGTGGTAGTGTAGAGGAAGGTGGACAGTGACTTTATAGCTTCCACAAAAATTAACTCAAAATGGATCATAGACATAAACATAAGACATAAAGCTATATAACTTCTAGAAGATAACATAGGTGAAAATCTACATGATCTTGGGTTTGGTGATGAGATTTGAGTTGTAACACCAAAAGCAAGAGCCATAAAAGCATTGCTTGGGACACCTAGTTTCTCTAAAACAATAACTGTATCAAGGGATCTGCAGACTAGAACCCACACCACGGGATATGCATGCTGGAGGTCAAGGTCTGGGAACCCAGCGCCCTAGAAACAGGCTTGGATGCCAGGAATGCAGACATCGGCCACAGACCCTGTTTCTTCCCAGCTTGCTCAGTCCAGCTGGGCCAGTTGTCTACCAGACTCCTGAAAGCGGAGAAGGCAATGAATTTCCCAGAACACCCAGATGTGTTTCTCATCACCTTGAAACATTTAAATACAAAATATCTGTAATATTGTAATTTTTATTTTATAACTGCTTGTTAGTTCATTAAAATAATAAATTCTGCATCCATTTATTTTAAAGTGACTAACTGTTACATGCAATAAAATCATAATTAAATTTCATTATAGGTATCTATTTATATTTGATTATTTTATAGATAGAAGCATGAAAAGAGTTTAAAATACGACTTTATTCCATTTAGAATTGAACTTAATTAAGAACTTTGTGGAGAGAAGTGGTGTTTATGGGTTGGATTCCCAGTAGCTGTTTAGTGGCCGAGTCCCAGTCTTTACCTAACTCAAGCCGTTGGCAGATGGATGGATATTGTCCTTCATTTCTTCTTACCCATTCACTTGCTTTCTTTATTTTCTCAAAAGCCCAGGGAATATTCCTAGATTAAAAAAAAAGTTTCCATCAATTCCAGAATTGCATATGAAATGTAACATGGTACCAAATTTATGACATTGTATCAGACAAAATAACTGTTAAAAATTAAGATGTTTAATAAAAGCAATTCTCTTCAACATTTTATTAAAATTCTTCTACTAGCCTGAAATAGTGCTTTTAACTTATTAAGTATATTTTATGAGACTGATTAAGTATATTTTAAACTATAATATATTATACCCATCACTTCCCAGCTTGCACTGTGCTTTTAGGTCAACTCAAGCATCTTCTTGCCTTTGTATATATGTCCATTGTCATTCTTTCTCATTAAATACTATCCATTCTTCAAGTACAAACTCAATCCTATTTTACAAACCAGGCTTCCATTTCTCTCTCCTTTTTACTGTATCATGAATTTTCAACTTGAGTAGTTATTTGCAACGTACCTGAGACTTACCTGTAAAACTGGCATATATTTAATTCTATTAATATCATATAAACCAGGAACAGCTTACTAGTAAAATGTGCATATCATAAAAACTGCAAGTTTGTGTCCATAACTGCTATTGAATATTCAAGGCTGTCAAATATTCAAGTCTATTCAAGACAAAAAAAGTCTGGGATTTTTCACTAATATTAATTAGCTGTTTCCACACTGGTTGTGTCATCTGCTGCAACTTGTTAGCAAACAAGTGGTAACATATACTAAAGTTTTAAAGAAAGGTCTATGGGGGGAGGGCTAAAAAGTTGAAAAATTCTCTCCATCTTCCTGATTTTTCTCCCTTGAACTGGGAAAGGACCAGTGTGGTGGTGAAGAGCTGGGTTCAAACCCAGTCTCTGCAATCACACACTATTGCCTGTGCGATATACGTGTAGTGTAGCTTTCATTCAACATTGGAAGTCTCAGTTTCCTCAGTTATGATAATAATACAAGATCCTGTGGATTTGTGGGGATTAATAAAAAGCATGTTTAACAGTCCCTGGCACAGAGTAGGCAATCAATAAATATTTGCTAAATATCATGATGACATGAGCATACCAAATAGCAAACAGGCCCAAAGTGGCTAAAAGACCTATGTTTCTCAATAATTATTAGTCTCCTTATAGACTACTGAAAGCAACAAAACTGATTTTAAATATTCTCACTAATTCAACTGGACTTCCTTTAATCCAGGTGGCCTCTGAACTTTTGACTGACCCTCCTACTAGTATGAAAATTTTGTTCATACACCTCCATGCAATGCGCTATGGCATTGATGTTATGTACTTGTGGAGTAGGAAAAATAGGAAAAAAGTTTTAAATAGGCAACTAAACAAGAAATAAAAGTTATTTAAATAGTTTTATTTATTAAAGTGCCAACAAACTCTCTTGCTCTCACAGTAACGATATAATAAGAGCAATGTGATGGAATAGTCTTATTTTTTTTTAATCTTGCTATTTTTTTTTTACACAAAGACAATTATTTAAGACCTTTATTAACAGGTGCTTGCAGTTTTTTGGAAAAAATCAAGTTGTAAACTTTTATTACAAATTAAAAATGAAATTCTTAAAAATCTTGGCTGGACCATATATAAAACAATTTAAACACCTTTAAAGGTGTATTGAGAAAAAACAGGCTTTTTTAAAATTAAAAAACACGTTTGTCATTACCAAAAAGAGACGTCTTCAGATAAAAATAATAAAAAAGCCATGCTGCATAGATAATGCAGATAGCTCTATAGTTATCTGGTCAATGGGCAAAAAGCAAGCACCTAGGGTTGTTAGCTCCAA